AATCGGCCGATTTTATTTTTTAGCCGGAAATCATCGGTCGTTTCTTAGGCGCAGGGCCTCTTAAAAGCGGCTTTAAGCGCTGGCGATTAGAGAGGTGTAAACTTTTTTTCCAATTTATAGCAATGAGGCAGTAACATTTCGTTTCGTTTCAATTTGATTTCAAAATCGCTTTTGTTTTATGCTTCCAGGATAAAGGAAAGTGTTGTCAGTGTTTTTTTTCGGGTCCTTTTTATAGTCCAGCTTACTGTAGTTGAATCAAAAACGATAGCTAGCGCGCACAATAGATGCGCAATGCATCGTGTCATCTCGTCCTAGCTTTAGCTTCTAGTGTTTGAAGCTGTAGAAAGGCTAATAATGCTTGATAAATAAAATAATTTTCATAAATTGTTTTGGACATCGTGATTATTTAATTTCCAGTTTAGCTTGTAAAAGTAGTAAGCGTAAGTTGCAATATTGTTCGCGCTCGCGGTTCTGCGTGTTATGAGTAAAACCCTATGGGATAAAAGTATTACAATTAAAAGATAATTTCCGATATTGGACAAACTGCGTCCGTGTTGCAATTATTTCACGGCAAATGGTCTAAAATTTGGACAATTTCGCACAGCCGTGAAGGTGGGATTTAAGCATAGAGTTCTGGGAATAAGGAACAGGACACCTTCAATGTTTAGCTGGCAGAGCATCGACTGATGAGAAACACGACTGCTTCATAGTTCAATTGGCAGAGACTTGGAAGACGATTTTGGATGATTCGTGCTATCATCATGTCAATTCTAGACTTAATAGCTTTAAGGACCAGGAAGTTAGAAGTAAGAAACTGATAGAAAACACGTCTTCTGCAGATTTTTTTCAACTTTGAAACGGCGTTACTACCACAAGAAACACAAAACTTGGCCATATATCGTAGAATTGCACGTTCTGTTGACTGATGTTCTTAAAATTCATCGTTTTTTCGCTGCGTCAGCAAAATTCTGGAAAAGACACGTTTTATTGGTTCCAGGTTGTCATGGCAACGTCAACTTTTGATGACGTATAGAGTCAGACTCGTGCTTGCAGCTTGCCAACTTTGAACTTAACAGCTTAAAGGATGAGAACGATAGAAGTAAGAAATGTTAAAAAAACACGTCTTATATGCATATAAAGTGAGGGGTTTAAGGTTACAGTATACCTTCGGGTCGGCAATTTTCTTCAAATTTGGATTTTTG